TTGGAGCTAAAGTGAAAGACAAATTTAGTTTAAATACAAACTTTTAAAAGCAGTGGAAACACAAATTTTAGTTACAGAAGGGCAGAAAAATAATAATAACATGCTGTACATAGGTAGTTTATTTTGGGGGGGAAAAACATACTAAACTGGTAGTTGGATGTGAAGTTTCACTTAGAGGTGAGATGTCTATAAAGCCAAATCCCCAAGTATGTTTTTTATACAGATACCACTTTTATGTATTACCTGTAGTATGATTAAGTAAAAAAGGAGTAGTATATACGTATTAGAGCCATAATTTGAAGGTCATGATATATTAAAACTTAAAAACAAATATTAAAAAATGATTTCATAGATTTCATAGACATCAGGGCTGGAAGGGACCTCGGAAGATCATCGAGTCCAGCCCCCCGCCCAAAGGGCAGGAAGTCAGCTGGGGTCATAGGATCCCAGCAAGATAAGCATCCAGTTTCATCTTGAAGGTGTTCAATGAAGGCGCTTGAACCACCTCCGGTGGCAGGCTGTTCCAGACCTTGGGGGCTTGGACTGTAAAGAAATTCTTCCTTATGTCCAGCCTGAAACGATCTTGAAGTAGTTTGTGACCATTCGACCTCGTCATCCCTTGGGGCGCTCTGGTGAACAAACGTTCCCCCAGATGCTGGTGGTCACCCCTGATAAACTTGTAGGTGGCCAGCAGATCACCCCTGAGCCTGCACTTTTTCAGGCTAAAGAGCCCCAGGGCTCTCAGCCTGTCATCGTAGGGTCTGCTTCCCTGACCTCTGATCATGCGCGTGGCTCTTCTCTGGACTCTCTCAAGCTTCTCCACATCCTTTTTGAATTGTGGAGCCCAAAACTGGACACAGTACTCCAGCTGCGGCCTCACTAAGGCCAAGTACAGGGGGAGAATGACGTCCCAGTAACAGTAAAATCAGAATAAGACCCACTGCTTCTCATTGCTGAACTAGTGTACTGAATCCTGCTAGCTTCCAACAGATGTTACTATGTTACTGTGTTTCCAGAAGCAGATGTTTCATGATCCAGTTTTTTCTCTCCCAGGAGTAAAATGCCAACATAACTTAAATTCTAAAATTTCTTACCATCAGTGGCAAATATGCTGACTACACTACCATCACAAGAAGCTCCTCTTGGAGGCCCCTGGAGAAGCAATGTCTAACAGGCAGCCTAAATGTTTTCCTTATTAGCTCCTAGACTTCTAGTATACAAAGGTTTTCCTCTGAAGTTGTGAAGCAAGATAGTGGCACTATATTGCAACAAACTTTGCTGGTTTCGGCATATTGGTCTCATAATTTACCTTTAGAACACAAGCAAATGTTTCCTATGAGTTACAGAGAAGGATTGCTATATTCCCCTCTATTCAGCACTGGTGAGGCCACATCTGGAATACTGTGTCCACTTTTGGGCCTCCCACTACAGAAAGGATATGGGCAAATTGGAAAGAATCCAGTGGAAATCAATTAAAAGAGCCCAGTGGAGGGCACTGGAAAGAGTCCAGTGGTTAGGGGGCTGGGGCACATTACTTATGAGGAGAGGCTGAGGGAACTGGAGAAGAGAAGACTGAGGTGGATTTAATAGCAGCTTTCAACTACCTGAAGGGTGGTTCCAAAGAGGATGGCACTAGACTGTTCTCAGTGGTGGCAGATGACAGAACAAGGAACAATGGTCTCAAGTTGCAGCAAAGTAAGTTTAGGTTAACTATAAGGAAAAAAACTCTCTCACTAAGAGTGTTGTAAAGCACTGGTACAGGTTACCCAGAGAAGTTGTGGATTTTCCATCATTGGAGGTTTTTAAGACCCAGCTAGACAAAGCCTCGGCTGGGATGATCTAGTTGGGATGGTCCTGCTTTAAGTAGCAGGTTGGATTAGATGACCTCCTGAGGTCCCTTCCAACCCTCATTTTCTATTATTCTATATTTACCAGAAAATTATGAATTGGAGCCACAGATAAGACAGACACTCATGACACTATAATGATCCCGGGCAAATCACTGGACTTTTCCTCCGGCTCCCCACATATCTGAAAAAGGACTTTTTATTGTCCTTGATGCTCAAAGCTAGCTGGAGTTCAGTTGCAGCCTTGGCTTTCCTGGTCTGCTCCCTACAGGACCGGACCAATGCAGAATAATCCTCCTTGGAGGTGACTCCCATCCTCCATCCTTTGTAGGCCTTTCTTTTTAGCCTCAGGAGGTCTGCTAGGTCCCTGGAGAGCCAGGGGGGCTGCTGTGCCCTCTTGCTGCCTTTCCTCCGAGATGGAATAGACTTAGTTTGCTGAGATGCTACAGTCATAGGTAAGCTCAGGAACCCTATGAGAAGTATCAGGATAATACTTTCTGGTGATGTATAATTCAACTCTAAATTCAAAATAGCCTAAATTGTGTTTAAATCTGACAATTTATATTTCAGTCAACCCTGCCAAGGTGCTGAGCACTCTTAGGCTCAGGTCCCTTAACCATTTGCTTAAATTCTAAGCATATCAGTAGTGCCATCGAAATGTACTGAAATTATTTTCTTACTTTCATTTATCATAGGGTGAGGAGCTGATTGCCCCTCATTTTACAGGATGGAGACTGTAGAATTTGTTTTGTTTCACTTAGTACCAAAGGGACGCGTTGTACAGTGCATGCAGGAATATAAGAAATTTGACCTCCCACCCATCAAACCTCAAAACCCTAAGTCAAAAGAATTAGTCCTTACTCATGTGAGTTGTCTCAGTAACTTCATTTGGATCTGACTGAGATAAGGACAACTATAGTGTAAGGATTTTTAGGACTGGGCCTTAAACAAGTACCACATACCGAACAACAGTATGGCTGGGCAAAGATGAAGAATACGAGAACATTAGAGAGGAAATAAACATTAGAAGCTTCTTTTTACTTTTTTATTTAATATTATCTGTTAAAATAAGTTGATTAGGAAGAAGATGTCCCTCTATGAATGGCAGAGAAATATTTCTAGCTTTAGTGCAGGTATAATGCAGGGCCTTTCACTGCAGCTCTAAGAGCCTTTTTTCTCTACTGCAGAATTGATAAACACTTCACTACTATACAGTTTTTTTATTCCATCAGCTTGAATGGTGTCACACATGTCAGTTTTAATAAAAAATGTTCATGTGCCACTTTTCTTAGTGTGTTACTTAGATATTAAAAAATTAAGAAAAATATTGTCTTTCATTTTGGCCTGTCAACATGAATAGGTCATTATTTAACACCTGCCTTGGATGATTGAACCCTTATCTTAGCCTTTTCTAGTAATATCTACCAAGCTGGCAGATTATCTCTATGCATGTTAGGACATTTGTTTGCTATGTACCAAGACTTTTTGAAGAAAGGTCATTTGGCAGATACACAGAAACTGAGTTTAATCCCCCAAAGGGATTTATTTTTATTTTGATGCTGATTAGATAATTGCTAGTACATAGTATTCAGAATAGCCATGACAATACTGGTTATCACACTTGTTGCATACAGAAGTATTAACTGAATCACAGTTTTTGCTTTTCCCCTTTATCATTGTGTGCAAAAATGTTTTATCTTATACAGTAGTTTTGATCAACTGATGTGTTTCAAATACCTTTTTTTCAGCTTGGAGAGCAGCAGTCATTGGAAGAAGCCATTAGAATAGCCTCCAGAATACAACAGGGTGAAACACCAGGGATTGATGATTAACTTCTAGCATTGCTACAAGAACAATAGAGTGATATTTTATTTTCAATCAGCATCAATTCATAAAAACTTTGAAGTTTTCCTGCTCATTGATACAGTGTACACATTTAATGCAGAGTGAAGAACACTTTGTAACTTCTGTGTACATGACCCTTGGAACAGACTGACACCATCTACTTGAACCATTGTATATCCAGGAATATGGAATTAGGATTATATAAATTCCCTTGTTATCCTTTCATCAGATTTCCGACCAGTCTACAAGCAAGCAAAAGCTGATGTGGAAGTACTGGAACAAATTGTTACTGTCGTGAGCAAAATAATGAAGGCATTATTGGATATTTCAAACATTTAAAACCATTTAACAAAATCATCATTTCAGAAACTCTTATAGATAATAAAGCAAGCAATCAAAGCCTTTTTTAATTGTTTCCCATAAATAAAAGTCTTGAAGTTGGAGCCTATTATAAATCTTCACATTTTGACTTATGTTGCATACAGATTTGAAGATTCTTCTTATTTAGATTCCCTATCCCATCTCACTCATTGTAAATACAGACTGTTAATGCTGGAAGTGCTAATTATATTATCTTTAAATTGGATTATGTACAAAAGAGAAACTTTGGTTGTTCAATATTAAATATTAAAGACAGTAAATCTAATCATTTTGTTTCTTTACATATTTTACTTAAATCTTAAAATGTTATCCCCAAATTATGATGCAATAAAGTATAACAATATTATATTATCTAGATAGGATTATACTGTGGTGTGACATACTGTTTTACTTTTTAATGACACTGAAGTAAAAATTATTTATTTCCTGCTTTGTATAAATTGTTCCAAAGTTTATTTACCATAAGCATTACTCTGTAGCATATTAATTTTGATTGGAAGCTACTATAGTGTATTAAACATTTAATATACATTTTCATAGTTTCATAGTTGCTAGGGTCAGGAGGGACCTGAACAGATCATCTAGCCTGACCCCCTGCCACAGGCAGGAATGAATGCTGGGTTCACAAGATCCCAGACAGGTGATCATCCAACCTCCTCTTGAATTTGCCTAAGGTAGGGGCGAAGATCACTTCCCTGGGAAGTTGGTTCCAGATTTTGGCCACCCTAACTGTAAAATATTGCCTTCTGATCTCTAACCTAAACCTATTCTCCATTAGCTTATTACCATTATTCCTTATCACCCCAGGTGGTGCTGGGGAGAAAAGGGCTCTACCTATTTGCTGTTGATCTGCCCTGAGGAGTTTGTAGGCAGCCACCAGGTCTCCCCTCAGCCTCCTCTTGCTGAGGCTGAACAGGTTCAGGTCCTCCAGTCTCTCTTTGTAGGGCCTGTCCTGCTGCCCTCTCACCAAGCGGGTGGCCCTCCTCTGAACCCTCTCCAGGCTGGCCACATCCCTTTTGAAGTGTGGTGCCCAGTAGTGGACACAGTAAACCAACTGCGGCCTGATTCAAGTTTAAAAATTCTGAGATAATGCAAGAGTGATTAAGATGGCAGATTAGCTGACAGTTTCTGCCAAATAAGTAAACCAATGATGAACATGATAAAATATATGTTTTACAAACACCAGTGGTTTCATTTTCAGAGATGCAGAACACCTTTGAGACTGTGTAGGGGATTTGCAGATGCTCAGTGCTTTTGAAAACCAGGCCAAAAGTCACAAGAAATTGGCTTAATTCCTGGTACTGTAAGTACAGCGTTCTTTATTACCCACCATATATAAAAATAATTAATTGTAGTTGCACTTCAAGACATAGAGTAAAAGGAACTTTTAAACTTTTTATATAACAAAAAGTTACTTTAATTTTACCTTGTTAGTAGACTTGCTAAATTAAAATATTTGGCTTAAGATAAAAATCAGTGCTTGTTTTAGCTGAATGTATTCATCAATGATCCAGGTTCATGAAGTTCTGAGTACCTTCTGTCATCATCCCAAGAGAGACATCACCGGCACTTTGCAGGATCAAGCCCTAAGGAACAATCCTTTTGTAAGCATTGTAACAGAGGGATGGATTTGTTTATGTACATTCTAATTAGTCACCCCAGCATTTTATCTCAGAAAGGCCAGCTTAAAATAGAGTCAGATAAATAGTGTAATGTTGGTGTTATTCTGGGTTACTGATTCAAAGGTGATTGCTTCTTTTCAGGTTACCTGTACAAATATGACCAATAAAACAAAAACAATGAATGAGTACAAATGGAAAAAATTGGAAAGTGCCATGTTCTATTGACTTTCAGTAGGACTTAGATGCTAAATTAGTTGCTGGTTTTTCTATTGCGTTAACTTCTATTATCCCATCAAGGTAAGTGATATGGCATGGTGGAGGTAAATTATGAATTGGCTGAATTAGTTACCTCTACTAAACTTCAAAAATAATCTGAGGGAGAATGTATGCCATATGCCCTATCTTTATAAAAGGGCAATTTTTAGTCCTCATAGTTAATGTTTTGGGGAGGGGTAGAAGCCTAGAACAGGAATCACTTATTCTCTGTTCTTGCCTTCCTCCTCCTCAAGACATTCTATAATTACAATCTATACTTCTCCTGTTCAGTCCATCTCATTGCTTCCTAGTCTATCACTATTGGAAATAGCTTTATATAGTAGTATTTCTGAACAATTCTCTTATGCATCATAGAAAGTACATGGGCATGTCTATATGTGCCCATATAGCAACGTTGTTACTAAGCCGTACTTCAGTACTTTCTTTTGGTAGTACTAAAGTATGGGGCAGTAGCAGCCCATACTGCTCCGTATGCCAGGCATATGGTTATTTTTAGCTGCTGGTCACGAGTAGACACATGTGGTCACTATGTCACCATAGTGCATCACTAGAGCAACGTAGCATCATGTGTAGAGAGGCACCCTTTGTGAAACTTGCAAGTCCTTGAGTTTGGTTCAGTATTTTTGTTACTAGTTATATGACTAAAATTTCAGTTTGGTGTTCACAGTGAACTGGAATTGTTGCTGCTTTTGCAGGCAGGTGTGTA